TGAGGGCGGTGGGGGCGGTGGGGGCGCGGGGAGCCTTTAAATACTCTTTAAACACCTACAAATACAGCGGTGAAAGACTCTTTGAACAGAGCGGTGGAGGCGGTGGAAGCGGTGTGGGTGCGGACACCTCTCGGGATATCACGAGCGCCGCCCGCAGGGGTCGGCGGATAAATGTGGCAAACTATGTCAACCAGAACAATGTTTCGTTGCTGCTATGAATACGGTAATGAGCGCTAGAACAGTGATAGCAACAATGATCGCGAAAACAGTGAGAGCAGGCAATCGTAAAACTGAGGACAGATGAAGTCATCATGATATCGACAGCTGTCACAGCATTGACAGCATACCGCAAGAAGACTGTCACTGTAAATGATTGTGCCCATAAGTTCGTGCTATGTGGGTTTAGTGACATGTTATAATACGTACATGCTGCATGTATATGTTTTATGTATACTATATACATGCATAAGGACGTATGTTTGTACATATATAGATATAGATACACATATCTGTAGATATGCGTATACACAGACATGTTTGAATTTCTTAGCAAACTGTTCCTTTAACATCGACGTCGGCGAACGGATCTGGCAATATAGGAATCGCCAGATAAATTCGGTGAGATGATCTTTGACGAAAGAATCCGATGATGATGACAAGACACCCATGGGTGCACCACACCGGGCAACCGCGGCGCCGGCAGCGTGCAGGGTTCCCCCAACGAGGAGATAATGAGCATCCTTGACCAGCATCTTGAGCATTTCGTCGCTGCAGAAATCATGAGGCTCTTGGTTTCGTTTGAAGGACCCTTCCCATTCTGCAAAACAAGGTCAACCCGGGAACCCCAAAGCATCCACAAAACAAATCTCGCGAGCAGTGACACGAGCATTGGCTTTCCAATTGCGGCGTACTTCAGAGGCATCTTGCTGCCACACAAAGTGCAGGCACCTCGTATTGTGACATATCGCGACGGGAACCCCGCATCACGACCCCGGGGCCAGACCGGTGGAAAGACACTGCGTACGGCGGCATCCAGTCCATGGAGCCGCTCCCTACGAACCCCATCAGTGAGGAAGCCCCCTCGCCGCAGACCGTGTCGCGACCCACAAAGATGAAACCCCGCCCGTAACCTCCCGCGCCACACCACCTGCGACACCACCACTTTACCCTCCCCTGCCCCGAGCCCTACCCCGCATCGCGACCTACCGCAACCCCCACGGTCGAGAACCGGTGGAATCCCCCCGCAACGCACCGCGCATCGCGACCCTGACTGCGCCGAACCCTGCCACGCTGCTCCGCCATGGAGGTGCGGGTCGCGATACGGCTGCTGTGCGAGATTTTTCCACCGGTGGTGGTCGCGATGAGGTGGGGGCACGATATGGGGTGCAGCGGGGGAGGAAGAACAAAAAAGTTGACAAAGGCACCCACTCCACCAAACTGTAGAGTGAGAAGGGGGCAGCCGCCAGTTGGTGCAGCAGAAGAGTGCTGCCGACAAGTGACACCACGTCAGTGGTCTTACAAGCTCAAGAACTGATCAACTGCAACTCAAGCTGCTGTGAGGAAAGGCAAGTCTTGGCGGGCCTGAACCCTAGCAACCAAACTACTGCAGAGTGCAAACCCAAAGCATCTGGGGCAACGTCAAACGAACCAAGAGGCACTAAGGAGCAACCAGAACTGAAGCCCTAAACCGAAAATGTGGCAAAATCCATCAGCATGGGGGTCGCGATACGCCGTGCTGCGCGGCGGGGGTCACGATACGGGGTGCGGCACGGGAGGTGTACCGATGCGGTTCGCGGTGCAGGCGGCGCGGTAGGTTCTAGCGGTGGGGTGGCGAGACGGGGCGCGGCACGGGAGACTTCACCGGACCGGTGGCGGCCCGGCGCGGGGTCGCGAGGTGCGCGGAGGTTCCACCGGTGGTGCGATACGGGGCGCGGCGCGGGAGGTTCCAGCAGTGGGGTCGCGATGTGCCGGGTGCGTCGCGGGGTGCGGCGCGGGGTGCTCCGCGGGAGGTATACCGCCGGTTTATAAGGTGCACCATGGAGGTCGCGATGCAGGGTACGCCGCGGGAGGCTCACGGGTGGCGGCAGCGACTGGGTGCAGCGCAGGAGTCTTCAGCGGTGGACGCAATACGGGGTGCGGCCTGCGGGGTTCCAATGTCTGATCCGCTACAGTTGGAAAAAACATGCTCGTGTCACTGCTCGGGAGATTTGTTTTGTGGATTGTCTGTTCCCGACAACCCCTCGGGACTTGGTTCTCCTTGAGATTGTCCAACCGCGTGGGCCGCGATATGGGGTAAGACGAAGCGGCACAAGTGTTTAGTCCAACGTGTCCGCCGGAAGCGGGGAGGGATCGGAGGGGTTCCACCGGTGTGCAACGGGTGGCCATGGTGGCTACATATACGGGGCGCCAGCTGGGATTCGCATGATTCGCGATACGGGGTGCGGCATGGGTCGCGGTACGGGGTGCGGCGCAGGAGGTTGCACCGGTGGGGATCGTGATGCGGGTTGCATGGGGAGGTTTCACTGGTGGTAGTTTGTGAGGCGGGGGAGGTCGTGGTGCCACCGTGGTAGCGATGCAGTGGGCGCGACCTGTGGTTGCGGGGGTTATTGCGGTCGGTAGTCTGGGTCGCGATACGGCCCAAGGCGCAGGTGAGTTCCCCCTGGGGGTTGCAATGTGCGGTGCGGTTCCACCATTGGGTCGCGAGCAGGAGGTTCCATCAATGGAGTGGATACGGGGTGCAGCTAAGGCCAGGATGTTGTCAAGGCTGTCGGAGCCGACATCGAAACCCGTTTACGACATGCTACAAGCAACTGGAGATGTACAGCATGTATATACACATGTTTTTACTGTATAAACCATCAAGGGAGACAATTCGGTCCAACTTGGGTTCCTTAAACCCAAAGACCCCAATTGACGAATCCTGACTCCACCCCCCGAGCCTCAAAGGTGATCCCTTTTCAGAAAAAGACCCGGGCGCGGCTGGTGGGTGACCGGCTGTTGAAGCTGCGTGAGGAGTGCCGCTGGGCTCTCTTTTTTGCCTTGCATGGACACTCATTCACAGTTCAGTACGACTTATTGTTTCTTACACGTTCCAGGTATCACAAGTATCATAGGTCGTAGCAATCTTAGAAGCATGCCCACTTTCCAGTTTCCTTTTGAGCCGCAGCAGGTCACAGTCTTGACCACTATTGCTGCAGTATGAACGGCATTTCGTAGGGGATGGGTAGCCCCGATGATCATCGTTACTGATGTTGACAACAAACCAGCCAACAAACAAACAGACAAGCAAATGAACAAACAAGCAAGCAAGCAAGCAAGCAAGCAAGCAAGCAAGCAAACACACAGACACATAGAAGCACACACACACACACACAGTCACACACAGTCACACACAGTCACACACAGTCACACACACACAAACAAAAGCATTCGAACATGAAAAACAAGCAGACACAGCAAAATGACCATATCTAGTCAACTAACCGACGATGACAAACGAACCAACCAACCAGCCGGCCAGCCAACCAACCAACCGACCACCGAGCGAGCTAGCTAGTGACATGAAGAAATACTACATAGCTGAACCGGTTGATAGCACTTCGGCAAGTAAGATACAGAAGCACACACAGACAGAAAATAAGCGAACAGACGCACACGCGCGCGCACACAACCACACAGGGCAAGTGGTTGGATGGGACGTAGCAGCCATTGCAGTAGCCCTTCCGGTGTATTCATCGACTCCATGTTTTCAAAGGCTTTGTGATTGCTGCCCTCTTGCAGGATCCTGGCCTGTACAGTTACAAGGCGGGCGGAAGCAGGGGCCTCAGCGGTCCTCAGGAGCTGCTGAGCTGCGCGAATTTTCGTTCATGGCCTTTCCTCTTTTCCCCGGTGTCTGAGGCGAGTCGATGACCAAGTTGCCTCTCATCGTGCGCCCTGGTCAAACTTCATGGCCAAGCTGACCCCCAGCACAATCAATGACTCCTAGCAACATCAGACACTCTGTAACTCTGTGAGGCAGAAGGCGAAGACCGACCGCTGAAGGTCGAAGGCGTAGGCGTTGCGGCGAAAGCGAAGGTGCGCTGAAAAGCTAGAAGTAGTCTCTTACAGCGCTTCGGCCCCTCCATGCCACTCCGAACTATGATGCAATGTCCTGAAACTATGTGATTCAAAGCCCAGAAGACCTGCGGAGGGACGAAGCTCCCGGTGCATCCGAGCATGGAGCATCCGTGCA